GAGAGAGAGAGTGTGAGTCATGGGACGTGGAGTATAGTGTGGGAGTGGAGTCAAGGGAATTGTAATAGATATGTATGATACTAGAGGGGACGTGGGGCGGCAGATTGGGGGAGGGGGGTTGTCACTTCAAGGGGTAAAAAAGTATAAGTATTGCACTGTGTTGTACAGCTGAAACTAATTCTAAAAAATGTGTATTTCACAATAAAAAAAATAAATAAAAAGAAAATGCAATCAGGCACATATGTAGGATATACATTTATTAACAGTGAAAAAGCATTTACCCAAAGTGAATGTTACAAAATACAAAGAATACCTGCACAGTCTTGTGAGTACACTATTTTAGGCATTATCTCAACCTGCCTAGCGTTTCCTCTCACTCATTTTGACTGACCTTTTCTCCCTCTTTTATCGCTTAACCAAGTTTTTTACTTATAAATCAAGACAAACAGGTTAGTTAATGCCAACCCTTTAACAATAGCTACTAGGGAAAAACACAGGAAACAAGTTATCTGCTCTCAAGCCCTAGGTATTTTAAAACTAAATTATCTACTAAAATACAGAACAACAGACTAGATTACAGCAGCTATAACATAAGTCAAATAACTAAGTACTACAGTAATAACTAAGATATAAGTACAACTCTTCCACTGTATCAGTCTGTAATATGCAGGCAGAGAGAGAGAGTCGTCATACGTAAGGCTTGGCTTAAGTACCAACATGAAGTTTTCCCCTCTACCCGTACAATCTAGAAAACAAATATAGAACTGGAGTATACATATAATGTAACTTTTTGTTTCAGTTTCCCTGACGACAGACCAACTGGATGAGAATTCCTGATTCTGGAAACGACAGTTTTCTGAATAGGTTTTATTAAAGTGGAGCTATATGTCTCACATAATTTAAGTAGCAATCCAGTAAATGTCCTTATAGGGAAATGCTCATTTAATACTCCCTGACTGGATATTACAATTTGACACTGAGGTAATCAGGCAGGTAAGAATTTTAAAGGAATACCAACCAAATTCTTTTCTTATAGGATGTTTCACTCAATTGTTAACAAATTTAAAAGATACTCTGCAACTTTTATTCAAGGAAGAATCTGTAAGGCTGACTGGCTTAACTGTGAACTGGCTCTGAAGCCTTACTGGATATATGGCAAGTTGGGGATCTAAAGGTAAGCCATCCTTTAAAAGCTTACTGAACTTAGTGATGAAAAAGTTCCACACCTTTTCATTCCTCAATACCTCACCTGCGAACCTGCCTCTCTCCTCACTACATGCAGAAGCAACTGCTATGCTCTGGTCTTAAACTATCATCTCAAAAGGTACATTTGTCCAAAGGCATATAGAACCTTAACATTCTGGTACCTAAATTTAGTTCTATTAATCCCTACTTGAAAGAGCTCGGTTTTTCATTTAAATCACAATGTTACTTGTCTGTGCAGAAATACTCTCTATATAAAACTTATTATTTTTTTTTATTTTTAGATGGAAGGCAACATAGATAGGAATTGAAATTGTGGAAAATATTTATCTAATTGATAATTATGTTAAGTTTTAGGTACCAAGGACATTGTGTCCTAAACTTACCCAGCTTGAATCCAGTATTAATACATATTCTACAATAACTTCACAGATATCCTGGAAACCTTTATAACCTGCCGTATTGTTGCACAGGAATAAGACTAAAAGAACATTAGACCCGACATCAGTAACACTGGCATTATTTGGAAGCCTGGCCTAATAGCTGGGCTTTATAATAAATAGTATATTTCTCTAAACTTAACCACTGCTCTTCTCTGAATAGTCTAATTATATAGAACAGTGACTTATTGTATAGAATTCAACATAATTTCCAAAAAAGATACTTTACATATAAGTCCAAACTTTATTTAAAACTACATTTTAAATTTAACATTACCAAACATCACAATGGGATAAAAAAAAAATCAAGACCAAAAGAAAAAAGAAGAGAAAAAACCCCACAGTTTATCAAGGATTGAATTTGTTTAGAATGTAGTTTCTGATGTTTTAAACTGCCATGGGCAGAAATCAGCACACCTATCAAAAATGCAGTGTCAAACTAATTTACATTTTTATACAGATCAAAACATGTTTATTTAGAACCATTTTCATATATGTACTGACTACGTAAAGAGTCAGATGAGCCTCTGAAGACATCTCATGTGCTTTGGGTTCCCACTGTCTCTGAAACAGAATAATGCCTTATAAATCACTTACTGAATTAAGATATTACTAGAATTTAATATTATTGTCTTCATTAATACTTTCACTTTTAATATAGTTATTAAAAGGAAATACTAATTTAATTTACTACAATAATTCCCTGATAGCACACAGTAAAGGGTTTAAAAAGAACAGGTGAGGATTTCTGTTTTAAGATGACAGACTGAGCAGATACTTCCTGTCTCTCCAAAAACAAAAAAGCCCACTGGAAAAAAAAGAGCTAAAAAATTGAATAAATCCAGAACAACAAAAGAAGAATGGTTCCAGGATAACAGAGGACGGGCGATACCAGGTTCTCAGAATGCTAAAAGCAGCGGGAGGCACAGTGAGAGGGGAAGAGGCTGCAGCCTAGACACACTATGAGCTGGGTACCAACCAGGTGACATTCTAACAAGCAGAACTGGGCTGAACTCTGGGAAATTAATTGAAGGCTGATATTTTTGTCTGCCCTCTCCTCACCCCATTTCCAGAAAAAAACAAAAATAAAAAATCATATATGATTTTAATTAATTGATGAACTGATAAACAATAACAGAAAATCTTTTGACCTGAATCCAAGAAATGCTCTCCTCTGAGTTGCCCAAGGTTGTGCTATTAGACTCATAAAGAAGGAAATCTGGAACTATCATTTAGCTCTGCAATGAATCATATTTATATAGAATAATATTTGGAAAAATATAGAAGATGTAGTTACAAAAATAAAACATAAGTGATTTTAATTTATAATAATGTAAGAGTATGACTAAAACTGAACAGAGAAGGCGAAGAGGAAAGGACCAGTTCATGACCAAAGTCCATGAAACTAGAAAACACATACCAGGGGTGCCAAAAAAATGTATGCATCATACTTGTATTCAACTTTTGTTATCAGTACATATTGAGTATTACAATTTTAATAGTTTTTTCCTTGCTTAAAATATGTACACATTTTTTTGGCACCCTCTGTATATTAAAAATAACAAAGGTAACAAACAAAAAACAATATGAACACTAAATACCCACTTTTGGGAGATAAGAAATATTATCTGAATTTTTAAAATTAAGAAAAATTATAAGTATATTATTTTGAGATAGAGGGTTTCCTCCAAAAGAACAAAAACCAACAATGAAAAGCAATGGATTCTTGCCAACTATCATTAACTTTTTTGTACCTTCCTTTCTTAAATCATGTGCATATATATTACTTTGCTAAAATGGAAAATTTTAAAAATAGAAAAAATTATCTGATAATACTATTTTATAAATTAGGAAGCTGAACTAAAATTTTTACAAAATTATGTTTCCTTTCCAATATGTGGCTTAAATCTCCCAGGTACTAGTAGTGCATTTATAAAACAAAACGAAATAATGGTATCAAGATTGAGTAATTTTCAATATGATATGGTTAAAATTGGTAACTCATACCAGGTTCTTTTAGCGTCTGAGAATTCCCAGCTAATTCTTCAGTCTGCATCTCACATAATATTTCACCAGATAAATGGTTTTTCTGTTCTTCTTCTACCATTTTATTCCTTAGATCTGCCTTTGGAATGATAAAAAATACAAAATCATTTTCACCTTAACAATATTTGTTATATAAAGATAGTTTTAATTAAAGAGAGCCAAGTACCTCTGAATATATTGTCAGTTTAAGTGGTAAATCTTCAACTTTCACAAAGTCTTCTTCATCAGATTTTTGACTTATGTTACCAGATTCTGCTTCCTGTAAGATAAACAAATTCTATTTAACAAAGGCAATCCACTTTCTCTCTGGATCAAAATCAAAGTCATCCGTGCCAGACAGAGAGTTGGTTCTTGCACATAAGTATATTTTAGTGATTCCATCACACTTAGTTTTCTTACATATTCAAACCCTATGAATAAAACCAACCTAGAGTTCACAGAAGGGCTGGCTACACACTTGCAGGTGTTGAGTGTCCTGTTGTGCTTTTTTGTTTTCATTTTATCAAATAAAGAGTCAGTTTATACAGGTGAGAGGAAGAAATAGTAGAGTTATACAGAGGGTTAAAATAATTAAAAGAACTCTTGTTTCTTAATATGTTTACAGCATACATCAGAGCTGTATCCGGTAGAATATAAGTAAACATTTACAGACTTTCAGTATCAACTCCATGGAGGCTCAAATAGAAAGATGAAGTATGAATTTAGAACTCATTTTTGTGATCACCTCACACAGTTTTTATGAAATTTGAATTCTTTTATTCTCCTAATTCTCCTTTTTGATTTTTAATAGTATCATCATTATACCGATTACCTAAGTGGAAGGAAGCCTTAGGCTTTTCTTTTTCTTGAAACATTTCTCACCCATCTTTCATTTAGCTTGTATTTTGTGTTTATATGATAATGGAACCTCCTAACATTGCTTCCTTGACAACGTGTCTTATACAGTCATCAGATTCATCTTAAAAAATAATGACTTCGAATACTTCCTCTGCCTAAAATTCAAATTCAAGACACTCTATACGCTAACTTGAAGTTAATTTTAATTCAGTGCTTCCTATAGCAACTCTACACACTCATCAAATGATATTAAGAATAAATCTAACAGGTAACTTTCAGAGTTTTAACTACATAATTTTACTGGTAGTGAAGCAAACAGGAGTTAAAAGTTACTCTTTCCACTAATGTTTTTGAAACATTATAAGCCCCCTCTCAGAAATTACAAAATCACAATTGTAAATATATCTTTGGGAATAAAATCTATATTAAAAAGTATGTGAAACACATTCCTTAGCCCTAAAAAGTAATTATAAGTCCCTTCATTTCTGTTGATAAGACAAAGTATATAAAACATATACAACCCAAGGATCCAAAAAATAACCTACTTGCTATAAAATTAAATTGATACAAAGGTCCTACTTACATCTTAAGTGCACCTTTGCTAGCATATTTCTGTAATTTACTCTATGGAGATAAGGACTCTATTGCTGTTTTATTCTATTGTTTTATTTCCCATCCCAAATGTAGACTTTCAGGTTAATCGAAGACTTATGAAATATTCTAAATAGTTGAGAAATCATGTATGGGAAGTACAATGATGATTCAAGAATCATTACACTATCCCTTCAGAGCTGAACTTAAAATGAACTCTCTCAAGGTTGCCACCTTAAATTCATCTCTTTGGTTCTCAAAATTATAAAAAGTAGAATAAGTTTTAGGCTTTGAGATGGTCGTCTTAATTTACAATCACCTTCTGTTCAAGTTTAAAGTTAGTTTGAATAAGAAATTAAAATATGCCAACAGTTTCTACACCTACACACAAAGTGGAGTTGTATTTACATGCTAAAATGTTAACCTGAAATGAAGAAATATGCACTGAAATAAAATGCAGAAATAGTTAGAAATATAAGTGATACCTACATAGTCATTTACTAGCACTGGAGATTCAGTATCAGGGCTTCCAGCCAGAGAGCTTTCAGGAGTTTCCTGAGCAGATTTAATTTCTTTGACTTTAGGCACCACGGTTTCGATTTCAGGTAAAGGTAACGGCAAAGCGTTAGGCTGTTTAGATGAATCAACGGTAGTAAGCGAGTCCTTTTGGACAGTACTATTTGGAGGTTGCTCATTTTCCAAGATATTGAGGTAACATGGTTTCATAGGGGTACTATCTTGGTCATCTGTCATCAAAAGAAAGTCTTAACATTAGTGTAATGCACCAGTTCTTAAATTTTACTATTACCCACCCAAAAGACAGTAT